AATATAAACCGTGCAACGTTGTTCGGTGGTTGTTGTCGTTTGCTAGCGTATAAAATAAAAAGATACCCAAGTAAATAATAAAATTATGATTTATTGAAATCGATAAATTTTAAAATTAATATAATGAAGAATTTTATAATAATATAGTATGGTATCCACTGAACTTTTTTAACCTGTTTATATGGATATTACTTTAAGTAATTTTTTATCATTTAGGTTTCAGTTAAATTTGTACCTATAATTTTTTTAGTTTTTGAGTGGATGAATATTACTGTTATTTTAATTAAGAATTTGACGTGATATAAATGTGCCTCTACATAATAAACTGCTAATAACGATCAATAAAATAATGATAAAAGATACCAAAAATTCAGGGTATTAATTTTGGCCTTTCAAATTTTCGTTACGTAATTATTCTTTTATACGAACATATCAGAGAGTGAGTAATTTGTTTGTCATTTAATTCAGTATCTCGGAGGTACTGAACTATGTTGACATATAGTGCAGTTTTATAAAAGTTACATTTTTAAACTAGGCTCATTGAGATTCCCAGGGATATGCTTGCTACACCATGTATTAGTGAGATTACAATTAAAGTTAGCCAAAAAATATAGCACATAGCACTATGTTCAATAAACTTACGAGCTAAACAGTGCATGTGCACATAGTGACAAATTCTTTAATGTTCTATGAAAACAATACATAAATAAAAAAAATGGAAAGTTTTATTAGTTAGATTAGTAAACAATACATAAATATTGTGACAATAATTGGGTGTCCAACTGCATTTTTTTGTTGAAATATATGTAATTATGAAGCGCAAAAAGTGGCAGAGTTTACCTCCCAGGTACTGACTTAAATCATTAAAACTACATTATTTGTATTTTGAATAAATTAAACAATCAGCATTTGTCATATATTATTTATTTGTAGGCATTTCACTAATACTATTATAATAAAATAGTATAATTTTATTTGTACACAAAAAAATGGTTTGTCAGAAAACTATGATAAACTATTATTTGTAAGTAAACAAAAAATGGTAAACTACAAAATTGATTAAAATATGAAGCTTATTTCCATACAAAAAATGGTAATCCAGAAAACTATGAGGTTATAGGTATATTAATAAATCACAAATACTTTTAAAACAGTAAATTATTAAGATGAAAGTGGAACGAACACTTAATTATGTAAAAATTAAAAATATTTTATTAAACATTAGAGTGATCACTTTTTAAAACTTATGTCTAGGATACCTGCCACATGGGATCATTGACAAGATACAAGAATAAAATACTAAATTATTTTTATACAAAAAATTATAAATCAGGAAACTACGAGTTGATCGGTAGTTATATTATTCATATTTCACTAATATGTTTATAATACACCATTAAATGAGGATTTGTAATATACACATGAAAAAATAGTAGTCCAGGAAACTAATAATAAAATAGCAAATTATTATTTGTTCACATAAGATGGCAGTCTAGAAAACTACCAATAAAATAGTAAATTATTATTTTTATACAAAAGGTAGTCTAGATAACTAAGAATAAAATACTAAATTATTTTTATACAAAAAATGATAAATTAGAAAACTATGAGTTGATAGATATGTTATTTATATTTCACAAATAATGTTTATAATAAAACAGTAAATGAGGATTTGTAATACATTCGTGAAAAAATAGTAGTCCAGAAAACTATGATAAAAATACTAAATTATTATTTGTACACAAAAAAATGGTAGCCAGAAAAAACTACGAATAAAAATAGCAATTTAACAAATCTGCCATTCAAAAATTTAAAATGTAAAAACTATTTACTAGGTAATTTGGAAGGGAAAATCATATATATGTGTGATCATCTGTGGAATTAAACACCATTGTTTTGGCTGTACCTTCAAATGAATCCTTTATATTTTTTGTTTCAAAAACACTTGGTTTGGATATGCTATTTTTTTTAGATTGCTTTTTTTTAACCGAAAAAAGACGAATTTGTGTATCAATATTTTTATTAATATTAAGTTCTTTCTCTTCTGAAAATTTAATTTTATTTTTATTCATAATATTTATAATTTTGTCCAAATGTTTTAAAACTTGAACTTCTTCATCTGAATTTAAAGAAGCTGTTTCACGGAGACCTAGGATAAGATCAATTTTTTTCCCAATTAAATTTTGCTTTTGAGCACATGGATTAACTGTTGATATTATATTATCTATTTCCATATGTTTTTCTATTTTTGGTATATTTTGTTCTTCTGAACTAGAAGCAATTGGAAGGTCATTTATCTGTCCATATGAGGAAACGGCATGAATATGTTTACATATATTAAATTTTATTACATTATCCATACAAGAACATTTATAAATGTGAACACAAATTTCACATCGACTACACTTTAATTCACAATTTGAGATATTACAAGATGATTTATTTTTCTGTACAATATATTCCTGACCAGAAATTGAACATGATTGAACTAGCCACTCATTCGATTCAAGAACTGTTATCATTGCAGATGTTACAGTTTTTGAATTATTATGAGCCAACTGAATATGTTTTATTCTCAAAGAACTTGTATTTTTGGATAGTTTTATAATTCTATTAAACAAACTATCTCTTGCTAATTTCATTACAGCATGAATAGTTTTATCTAGCCTACGTGTTTTTTTCCCTTCCAAATAATAATATTTTAAAATTTTATGTACAGATTCTAGGTACATATTAGTATTTATACCTAAATGTTGTCTAAAGCAGTAAGCCCATGTTTCAGTCCTTTTCACATAATATTTTTGGAAATAAATGCCAAAATTTACTGTGTCAGAATCTGCAAAAAGATCAGCTAAGACTTTTGAAAGAGCTTCATTAAATTTATCTTTATCATCCAGATGAAGTAAAACTTTAAGAGTTTTATATACCACAGATCTTTTTTCTAAGTTACTAATTTTATTTAAATTTTGTCTCCAGTTTCGATCGACATGCCAACTACATATTAGTCTATGTAGAACGTTGCCCATTACAGAAGACCAAGCGTTGTAAAATGCAGGTGCATCATCTGACATGAAAACTGTGGTATTAATTTCACCTACTCTTTCCTTAATAGCCTCAAAGAAAAGCTTAAAAATATATTCATCGCTTCTATTTGAGAAGCAAAATGCAACCGGACATCCTGCTCCATATTCATCTACCACAAGCAATGTATATAGTTGAATATCGTATGCATTTGTGCCATGAGTTCCATCTATACATATTTTATGTCTTCCAAATTGACTTAACTGTTGGGCTTGAAATTCTGTCATAAGCACAAGAAAAAAATCGACCTGGTCAAGATCGCCATGGAGATCTTTTTCATTTTGGTTCTTATATTTTAAAACAGGCGATAAATTCTCTAGTTCCTGCATTTCTTTGACCCATAAATGTACACTAATCGCATCATTGGTATGTCTTTTCGTGGTATAGGATAAATTAAAGTCCCGCACAATGTTGTAGAGATCTTTCTTTTCAAGCAGGTGACCACGTTGAAGACCTTCTTTTATATTTGAGTCACGAACTTCATCAATAATGTGTTGAAATGTAACACCTTGTTCTATTTTACCTAAAACAAAGTTTTAAATGAAATGGTGTATTTTTTATATTTCAAGAAAAGCACATTTTCAGAAAGAAAAAAAAAACAAATATTCAATACACAAATATTTTTAAAAATGACAATTTAGTGAGTTAATAAAAAAATTGGGGTTTTATTTATTATTACTGAGTAGGTAAATAATATTTAAAACAGAAATAAAAAGTAATAATTAAATTTAATGTATAATTTGTGACATTTTAGTTTGTTTTCATTTATTAATCCTATAAGGTAAAAGTACTATCAAATAAAACTGATAAATTAGTTAACTACCTGCTAATTCCATTCTGGTTTGCCTTCCTAGAAATGTGTGTCCCAATTCTAGGGAATGGCCATAGTGGGTTTTCCAAAATTTTACCACTACAGATGTAGGATTATTCAAGCATCCTTTTGTGATAACCTCTAAACGAGATGGACATGCTTTTCCTATTTTATTAGAACCTGTAGATTTTAGAGTTCTGATACTTTTTCCCTTTGGATTATAGGAATAAGACCGATGACAATTAAAATACTGTTTATATAAGTCTGAAGCCAAAGGTTTGGCAGCAGTATCGCGACTGTAATAAGAAGAATTTTTGATCTGCATTTCATCTTTCCATTTATTGAATTCTGAAAATTAAATGTTTTTTTAATTAAATAAGAACTAGTATTAAATAAAAACAAAACATACCCTCCATAGAATAAAATATAATATCCTCTACTTCAATCTCAACAGAATGTTCTTTAAGAAGATGTACGTTTAATGTTTTATAATTAAAAAAGAGTTCAAAACAGTTCTCATAAGGACACTTTAATCTAGATGTTCTAGTTGAAGATGAAGCATAATTATGCAAGTCAGATTTTCCATCTAGATTTTTATTAGTTTTTTTAACTTCAGAAATATTTTCCACTTCAGATTTCTTATCATGAAATTTGCGAATATGCGCGTACAAATTCTTTTTTTCTTTAAAGAAAGCCGAAGGACATTCTGGACAACGTATAACATCCATTTTTCAAAAAACACAACCACACAACAGAAAGAGAACACAAAAAGAATAATAAAATCACAAAAAAACAATAAAATAGCGACAAATAAGTACCAAAATCTGCAACCACGATCAACAGAACTTTTATCGTCACTGAGTTGGAATTGACTGACAACTGTCAACTGTCACGAGTGGAAGAATGTAGAATAACGGTAGAATTGCTAAATTTGACATCACCGCAAGTTGTCAGTACATTTAACTTAATGCGCATGATCCGTGCAACCTACATCTTACTGTCGCGAGACACTCGTAGAAAACGACCTTATTTCATTGATCTTGTCAAATCACCAGGCCTACAGGGTTGCCATAATTTTGCCATATCATAACCTGTCAAAACCCATTGATAGCCATCGTGGTAGCCATTCAGTTTGGAATGTCTAAATTAATTTAATTACAGAGAGTATGTTATCTGCCCTCTGTTTACCACGGAGAAATAGTTTAACGAACATACAAACAGAGAATGCAAACTACAAACAAAAATGCAAATGCTCATCCATAATTATTCCATAATACTCGGCTGTCGGGGAGTCCGAATTTACAGAGTCCAAAGTAAGAAGAAGTAAATAGTAAAAGAAGACATGTATAACCTTGCTTGCTTAGAGCTGTCAAAATTAAAATGTTATCAATTTTTAGTGAACATGACAAATTTTTTTGTTTATAATTCATATTAAACCGTAACGGAAGCATAAAAAGCAGGAGTATGAATATATAAGCAGGTAATTAAAATTTATAAACATCACAAATAAAAAAATGGAGTCAGAAAAGGTAACAATGCTTCGGTATCGAGGCTCAAAATTAAGTAAAGTTAAGAAATTGGATATGTTTCCCAAAGTTGAGGAACCTTTTAAAGAAACTTCGCCAGTAGGAGGAACTTGTAAGTTTATTAAACATACAATTTCATAATTATTCTAATTTGCTTTTCGATTTCAGTTTCCATAATTAGTTTTGTAATTATTCTGTGGTTGGTGTATTCCGAAATTAATTATTATTTAGATAGCAAGTTTGTTTTCAAATTTTCACCAGATATTGAATTAGAAGAACAGTTGAAAATTAATGTCGATATAACAATTGCCATGCCCTGCCAATGTAAGTATATATTTTATATAAAGTGTTTTAAATTCAATGAAATATGCCAGATCATTCTGTAACAAGTTATTACACAAATTCTTAATAAATTATAAAATTAATAAAATATGGGCATTTTCTTAAAGACATAGGAGCTGATATATTGGACTCCACTAATCAAAATACCTTCAAGTTTGGAACTTTAGAAGAGGAAGACACATGGTTCGAGTTAGATACAAACCAACAAATTCATTTTGACAATAAAAAACACTTTAATTCATATCTTCGAGAGGAGTATCATGCTGTAAAAGTAAGACTAATTTTATTTCAATCTAGAATATTTTTGTATTCCTTTTAAATTAATTATTACTTGTATTTATCTAGGATTTGCTGTGGAAGAGCAGTTTTTCAACCCACTTTGGAGAGCTTCCTCGAAGGACACATCTTCCAAATAAACCCCATGATGCTTGTAGGGTGTATGGAACCCTGGTATTAAATAAAGTTGCTGGTAATTTCCATATAACAGCTGGTAAAAGTTTGCACCTTCCTAGAGGACATGTACACATCAATCCCTTTATGTCTGAAAGAGACTATAATTTTTCTCATAGAATTAACAAATTTAGTTTTGGGGATCCTAGTCCTGGTATTGTCCATCCTTTAGAAGGAGATGAACTTATTGGTGATTATGGTATGTAAATAATTTTAAAGTGTAATATAGTTAAACATTTCTATTTTAAATGTATATTTAAAAGTTAACTATTAAGATTTTGCCTTTTCTATTAAATTAAAAAGGTTTACTGGAATATATTTTAGGTAGGACCTTATTCAACTATTTCATTGAAGTGGTGCCCACAAGGGTAAATACATTCCTGACAACTGTCAATACATACCAGTACAGTGTTAAAGCTCTAAGTAGGCCCATAGATCACAATAAAGGTAGCCATGGTATACCTGGATTATTTTTCAAATATGACGTATCGGCTTTGCGAGTAGCTGTGAAACAGGAAAGGGATCATTTGGGCACTTTCTTAGCTAGATTGTGTTCAATTATAGGGGGAGTCTTTGTTTGTTCAGGTAATGACAGTAATTTGCATGTATCTAAAAAAATATCTACTTTAAATAAATTAGCAAAAGCTTCATAGATAGATAATATTTAAAGAGAAATATTTTAAATTAAGCACAATAGACATAGGCCAATAAAATTAAATAAAAAAAAACATTTTGAGGAATTAATTTGTGTAATCTAAGTTTGCACCATACCAGGAGGTGAGCATAACTTTTGGTATCCAAAAAACCACCAAATATTTGCTCTCTTTTCTTTTTTTGCTTGTAGCTCGAAAACGGTGCATCAGATGGAAAATGTCATTCCATTTAATCATAAAGAGTGCTAAATTCTGCATCGAGTGACATCTAAATCATCAAATTCGGTTTATTAGTATAGCCGAAATAGAATGTTAGAAAGGAAGAAAAATTTTTATTACAGTGCACACTTACATTTTGTGGCTTTGCAAGACCACATATCTTGAAAAAAGATACTCCTATTAAAAAACTCATGGAATAAAAGATGTACAGAATAAAATTTAATGTTATATAGATACCTTAGCTTTTAAAATTCGAAATTTGGCATCAATTCAAAATCGGGTTTCTCCATGGTTTGAGTCATTTTAAGTCATTCGAGAAGTACAAATAAAAATCATTTTTAATTTTAAGAAAGTTGCCCCAAGTAACATTTTTAAGAGAATAAAGTTTTATTTATGTTTTATTAGGATTTTGTAAAAGCATAAAAATTAACAATTATTTTATTACAGTTATTTTTTTGCTAACAGGACTGCAGGATAAATTGATCTTATTACTTGGTTTTATAGATTCCTTTAAATCTGTTTAAGAAAACTAGTTTATCCTAAAGTAAACTATGCTTTATCACTGTCCTGTAAGGGTTAATTAATAAGTAATTTTAGAACTATTTAGTTTTAAGATACTCCTAAGGTGTGTTTGGTTTTAAAGAGGCATACTTTTTAGCAGTTATCTTAAGTAGGTTTTAAAACTTAGTTTTAAAAAGTGTTTTAGGATTATACTTTAAATTAAATTGATCCCAGAACCTTTTAGGTACATTTTCTACAATTTTACAACATAACTCTTATAATTTATTTAATCTAGTAAACCATAGGGCTCTTTTAAAACTACATAGTTTTAATAAGAACTGAAGTTTGTTTTAGAGCATAACCTAGCTGTTTAACCCAATCACATTATGTTGACGTTGAAAGATAAATTGTTCAAAATAAAGAAAAGTGGTAATTTCCATAGAGAATGAAAAAAAAAATGTATATGTTTCTCCTTTTCCTCAGTGTTTAATAAGTTCATTGTGTTCCATTGTTTAACAAATATCAAAACATTCCTAGGCTCCTAATATTCTGGAAATGATCAGTAAAAGAGAAAAATGGTTAATATATTATTACTAATTTTTATATTTTGAATGACTTGTTCGTAGAGTAAATAAGAAGCTCAAGAGTGAGGTTAGGTTATGTCCATCTGATTGAACTTATGAATGTTTTATTGAGATTTTCGTTTTTACTATTGTTTTATGAAACACTTTAAAAAGTGTAGCAGGAGCTTTTTAAAACTGGGAAGTCCTAAAAAGTATTTTTTTTTTGCTTTATTAGTTTTATAAGCTAATGTCCGTTTTTAGGTACAGATAGAACACAATGAGGAAATCCTCCATTTTAAATATGGCAGTGGCTGTTTAACTACATATCATGTAAAATAGTACCTCTTTACCAGAACTGTACCTAAAGGATATTCAAATAAATTATGGTCAAAGTGCAAATAATTCTAAAATCTTTCGATTTTAGTAATGACGTATTTTGTGTACCAAAGACAGTGATAGTGTGTAAATAACAACAGTGTGTCAATCACAACAGTATGCCAATGACAGTAGATTTATTATTTATGATTACATTTACTGCGTTTAACCACATAATGTCAAATTTGTCAAATATATCTACAGCTAATTCCTTTTAGGGTATATAAATGTAATTTATATTGGAATATACTATGATATAATGTTATACAACTCTTGCCTCGCCTAAAGTAATTTATGATTAAACACAAAGTTTGTTTCTGATAGTCCAGTAGGTAGTATGCGCAATTGAAAATGGTTTTCTGACGATGACAAGTATCCATACAAAGACAAATCTACAATCGGATTTATATTGGCGGTTAAATAGTCACTGCCATGAAATAATTTGAAAAATAAAAAATGTGATATTTTATATGAAAAACATATCGAAAACAAATGTAATCATTTTATAGTGTTACTTATTCGATATTTACAATGTTATTTTCTATTACATAACTTTCGGTAAATAGATTAGAATCCGTATAATAATCCTTTTTCGCGTATATTTCATATATTGTAAGGCCCATCATTTATTACGACCCACCTTGCCCACTTTTAGCAGTATTTTGGTGGGTGTTTGAAAATTAAAGAAATAACAAGTGTAACTAAACAAATTAAACATACACTATATAATATTTCTCTTACGGACTTTGTCTTAAGTCTAATTAGTCTTAAGATATTGTTTTAAAAATACTCTTAAGAACCGTTATAGGATTCTCCATTTTACTCTTAAAGCAGATTTATAGCAGCCCTAAGGCTATCTCGCGGATTCAAAAGTTTTATCAGTGTCTTAAAAAAGGGTTTTATGGTTACCTTGTATACTTTGATAAATCTAAAAATGTTACTTGGGGTGTATTGCCATCAAATCTTTAATAAGTATTAATAATAATTTATTAAGAAGTACATTAATCATAGTACTTAATAGTTTAGGTGCAAAAACACTTAAAGTTTATTGATGAAATATAAATAAAAACATGTTATAAATTAATAGGCATGCAGCACAAAATGTGGCAGCATTCATGTTCGCATTTTCTTAGATGTTAATGGCACTTCATCTGAGAAGCTCTCTCTATCGGCATCATCTTCAAAGGAACTATCCTTACCTATTTTTGCTTCTACGGCAATGAGGGCCACGTTCTCGTCCTCGTTGGGTGCTGAATTCGAACAATATGTTGGGCGGCGGCTACATTTGTTGGAGGTAGAAAGGCCAGATTGAAAGTTGAGTTTGTTAGGGATTATGAAAATATCTCGTAGCGAATTTAGTCCAAGGAGGTAGCATCTGCCTTGGGTGAATAGAAGGCTGCCAAGAATAGTTATGCTGAAATTAGAACCTCAGGATGAACATCTGCATCTCCTGGGATGGTGCAAACTTAGATTACATGCATTTAGGACAGAATAAAGGTATTAAAATGATTTCCTGCTTGCTGGAAATGAATTCCTCAAAAAATATTAATTTGGTTGGCCTAACAATGATTTGACAGAAAAAATTATTTGTCTTCTAACTTTCATCAATAGAAGTCTAAAGGAGTAAACTCTGGTGATCTGAGTAGTCATTACATCACTGATTCTCTTCGTACTATCAAGTATTATTTTTTTGAAAACGATATATAAAATTCTATATTTATTTTTTAGGTATCATTAATGGAATTGTACAATCTATTATCAATTGGATTAATAAGTTGTTAAAAGCAGGAAATGTTCAGACAGTAACCAACAAAGCTTCATTGGTTAATAATTCTCAAGCTATTTCATCAGAAAGCATTAAAGTATCATAACAATAATTGAATATCCAATATTTTTTTTGTTAAATTTGTATTTGTGCACTGTTTTAATAAACAATTATTTTTACAAATTATGGTGTTTTGTCGTTTGTAATCATTTAACAAGGCCGGCATATAAAAAATAATGAATTTGTTTCATTTATTAGTGTTAGTGTTATATTGATTGCCGTAGTATTGGTTGTCTATCTAGTAGAAAATAGAATGTTTATAATCTCAGACTTTCTGTAGCTAGAGAAGCAGGTCCGTAAGGATAAGAGCAACCAGAGAATTCTCGGTTAAAATGTGCGGTTGAACTAATAATTCCATAATTAATTATATTTGTTGAAATATGTGTATTGCAAGTTTTAGGCAATTAAATGTTTTTTTAACAACGAAAAAAAAAATTTGATTTTGTATGACCAAGCAGAAAATTTATTTATAATACAATCCCTTTGACATACCTTTCATTTTATAAAGGTGACATTTTTCAAACAAGTCGCACGAGGCATAAGCCAAGTCTGAAACTTACAAGAGTGTGAAATATATCACTTTTACACAAGTGATTTATAATATTTTTCCTACTGTCACAAAATAATTTCACCAAAATTGGGCTATGAAGGTTCAACCAAGATGCTGCTGGTTCTAGATTTGTTTTTATATGCCTTATTGAATAGTTTTCAAAATGTTTTATAAATGGTGTCTTGTAGAAATTAAAAACATGATTCCAGTTACTAACATTTTCTTAGGATGGTAAAGTTCTAATAATATTAGGTACAAAAAATATTAGAATACTAAATAATTTTTTCCTTAGTTTTTTTTTTATTACATACAACAACTATGAATAAGAACTTTTTTTATTATTACTTCTACCAATTTTTTTCTGAATTTATCAAAGTAGTTTAAAATAAGTAACAAAAAGGTGAACGAATTGCCTATTGTTGTTTATGTGTGTGGGAAGAGAGAGTGGATGGCATTGATATTAATCTTTTGCCACAGACATTCTATTGTAGTAGTGATATGATAAATAAAATGGTCCGAGGTTCAAATCCAGGATGAAGACCAATTAAAATTTCTTTTTTGGTTTGTTTTATAAAGGAATAAAACTAATAAATTATTTTTAAAATAGAATATATTTTATCTTAGATTCTAAATTTTTAAATAATTATTGTTTAATTTTAAGAATAATATATTTAACATCGTGTCAGCTTTTGTTTAATCACAAACTGGTAAGTTCACTAAATTTTTAGCAGAATTTTTTCCGAACCTTGTAATGTTCTTACTAGGTATAGGGTAGCAGAGGGATCTTTAACTCCATTGCGCACCTATGTATTTTTTTGGGGTGGTGAAGATTTTAGTATGACTTTTGTACAACGTAAAATGAGTAAAATGGCATTTAGAATAAATTGCTACTCTTTTGGGGGAGGGTTGTAACCCCCTAAACCCTGCCTTGGGTGCTCCAATGCTTTAACGAGTACCTACAAAATAATATAGACCTATTTTCAAAGTATGGGAGTACTCATTTCCCTCAAGATTTTCACGAGAAATGTCATATTTCAACGTGGACATAGTATTTTCTTCTACTAATTTTAATTTTCACTGGCTTTAAAACACTGTTTCCACGTTGACATATGACATTTCTCGTGAAAATCTCGAGAGAATTGAATTCTCTCGAGTTTGAAAATAGTCCCTATGACCGCCAGTTTTATGTCCATTCGACTCCACTCCAATAGATTTAACTCACGTTAACTGATATATAGTATCTGCAAGTTATGAAATGCAATTTTTTTAAATTTCTATACCTGTTATTCCACAATGATGTTCCAATATTTTAACAGGGTGTTATTCTACCAGCGATTTAGAGAGTAGGGAAATTTTAATTTGGGTCTTCTCTGTCAAAATATTTAAGCCTCAAAACGGCAAAAAATAGTCTTTTAGAGTGAATACCTAAATTGTAAAAATGTTATGATAAAGCTCCCTCTTAAAGTACAATTTGGGAACGCGAGACCGATGCAAGCGACAGGCAATAAGGCAACAAACACTGCCGTCACAGAATAACCACTATTAAGTATTCTGTGCTGCCGTATTAAAAGTGCTGTCGCGTCTCTGGCATAGGTCGCGCTGTCCCAAATGTGCTTCATTTAATTACATGATATTGGGTCCTATGATTGAACGTTTATGTTATCCATAACGCACATGTTAGGTCGAATTTTAACAGTAACGAAGCAAGTTTGTATGATGGAAAACTGTTAAATTAGAACATAACAGGCGGAAAATAACAGTAATGTGTTGGAAACCGTTTTTCATCATACGAACTTGCCTAATTACTGTTAAAACTGAGCCTAACATGTACGTTACGGATAACGTAAACGTTCAATCATAGGACCCATTGGGTCCTATGATTGAACGTTTACGTTATCCGTAACGTACATGTTAGGCCGAATTTTAAAAGTAACGAGGCAAGTTCGGATGATGGAAAACTGTTAAATTAGAAGATAACAGGCGGAAAATAACAATAACGTGTTGGAAAAAGTTTTCCATCATACGAATTTGCCTCATTTCTGTTAAAACTCGGCCTAACATGTACGTTATGGATAACATAAACGTTCAATCATAGAACCCATTATGTGATTCGTTCCTCCATGTTCAGACGTAAGAGACATTTCGGTCGTTTGCCTCTATCTCGCGTTTCTTAATGGTACCTTTAAATGGTTAGTACAATATTTATTTAGGAAACAGTCTAAAAAAAAATATCCAAGGAAGAAAATACTGTTGGATTCAATTTCGATCTCAGTCATAAGATCGAAATTTCCCGTCTAGTTAAGAAATAAATTATTTTGGTTAGTTGCCATGCTTACCAACATTACAATACAAAATTACAAAATCTAAACGTAAACGTCAAAGTCGAAAACAAAGTGAAGTCACATTTTAATAAAACACCCGTTTTGAAAATCATTGAAAATTAAGTGAAAAACTGTTTAATTGACATTCAAACTAATACAAAATGAATAATGTCGAACAAAATTTGTTACAAGTCACTCAAGCGATCGAAAAACAAGTAGATTCAGTTATAGAACAAATAGATAATTTGGACACTTCCGACTTAGAAGAACTAAAAAAGAATCGAATAAAGCAATTAAAGAAGCAGCAAGAGCAAAGGAGAGTATGGTTAAGTCAGGGCCATGGTAATTACGAGGAATTACCAGAGGAAAAGAGTTTTTTTGATCTGATTAGAAAGTCTGAGAGTGTTGTGTTACATTTTTATAGGGATGCTACTCCCAGGTGTGCTATAGTAGACATGCATATGAAAATTCTTGCTAATAAACACATTGAAGCCAGGTTTACTAAGTTAAACGCTGAGAAATGCCCGTTTTTAGCTGAAAAACTAAAAATCAAAACCCTCCCTACTGTTGTTTTGATCCTAAATGGTGTAATGGTTGATAAAGTGGTAGGTTTTACCGATCTAGGCAACACCGATGATTTTACCACTGACATGTTTGAGTGGAGAATAGCACAGAATAATGTAATCAAGTATGATGGAGACCTATCAACACCACCAGATGGTCGTACAGTTAAGAGAGGTAGTGGCAAGACAATAAGAAGTGGCGACTACAATGATGATGATGATGATTTAGATATTGAAGAATATGGTATTCTTAGAGAGTCCGCAAAATCAGAAACTAACTTGAAAAATGATATTTCAGAGTTAACTCCTGAGGAAGCAGCAGAGTTGGGCATCAATTAAAGTACTTTTTCTGATGTATTTTAATAAATGGAAATTGTATGGCTTTTTTAACTTTATTAAATTATAATCTTTCTATTTATTAAGTTTTTTTGTCATATCTTTGTAGAACATTGAAAATATCACCTATTTGACTGCATCTCTCATGACTTATTGCTTGAAAAATTATATTTCTACAGTGTGAGAGGAACATTAATATTATTTATAGTTTACGTAAATGACATACCTACCCAATTATTTGTTACCAACTAGTTCAGTATTATTTGCTGTCAATACCACTTTTATTTATTTTGAAAACAACTTGAAACTTTTCAAATTACAACTAAGAATATAGATCGTACAAATACAGTTTTGCTAATAGTTTAAAATTAAATACAAAGGAAGCAAAATGTTTGTTTTTTCCTTTAATATCAAGCTTCTTGTATAAATTCAATGACAGCATTATTAAGTTGCTTGGTTTAACCATAAACAGTAAATTAAATTGGACTAGCCCTGTTGATTAATAATAGAACAAACTAGTACTATATTTTTGCTTAGACATCTAAAAAATATAATTAGTTCCAATGCTTTACTGACAACCTATTTTTCTTTTTCATTCTTTTTTAAATTACAGTTTTATTCTCTGGGGAAATTCATTTAGTGCAAATTAAACTATTTCGTCTGCAAAAAAGAACACTAAGAATTATTGTCCACTTCCTTTTATTAAATTTAAAATTATGCCCTTACCAATTATACAGATATATAATGTGCTTATTGAAATCACTAAAAAAATGGTTCAATTAAACAATTTGAGATCCATAAATATAACATGAGACAAACAGTATCAGAATTAATCATTATCGTTTAACTAAATCACAAAAACTCAGTTGACTATAATATCTACAAAGTTGAAAGTAACTACTTGCTGATTAAACTATAGGGCTATTGTTTGGTAATCTGTCAAGTAAACCTATATGTAATAACTTTACTCAGAGATGAAAAGATTGGCCCTTAATCTAAATAAAATCAAAAGCAGTCTAAAAATATTTCTCTTTTGTATATTGCTTTTACTTTGGCAGTGAATACCTTAGCTGAAACACTTTCAAGTTAATTAACATTACATAAATTTTGTATTTATTTTGCTACAAACAAAAAAAAATGTATCGTGAAATACATTTCTAACACATGATTTTCCTGTAAAGTTATCAAATACATTGAGTACAGCCCATCTAATTTAAAAGTGTTTTTAAATTTTGACGTATAAAGTGACATTTTTTGTAATCGCAGCAAGTGTCAAAATAAGCTTCTTTACGCAACTAGTTGCATAATATTGAACATTATGTAACTGGTTTCGAAAAATTCATTGTCCCCAGTTGCGAAACGAAAAAGAAAAATAAAACTTATTTTTGGTTTTAAAATCAATAATATACCTACATTATAATTAAGAGTTTATATGAAAAAAAGGGCAGGTCGACTTATAAAAGTAACTCGCGTTACATAAAACAAAGCATTTTTAACTGGTTTCATAATTATTATGAATTAAAGATAAAAATTAATTATAACATTTTTTCATATATTCATTGCCAACAAAAATACTTAAACAAATTCAAAGAATCTCACAGTTCCCTTATGACAAATGGCTTTTCGTGGAAACTCCTAAATTTGATGAATGTTGCAGTTTTTGACCTCTCGAGTAAAAGTGTATATGGGCACATGACTAGTTTTCGAGATACAGGGTGTTGAACTTGTAAATTCTCATAATTTTTAAAAAAACTTTGCGACGTTAATGTTTTAAATTTGCCAACATTCATATATTCAAGTATATCATTACTTATTTTATCTAAGTTTTTGGTTGGGATACAATAAAATTATAAATCAAACAAATAACTTTATTATGTTTAAAATTAACAGTATGTAAACTATTGCATCATTGTGTTTGTCCTTGGTCCGGCATCCAGAAAAAGTGAATTCATTTCCATGAGCACTCACTTGTACTGTTGTTATCATGTCTTCGTTCAGTTCTACAAAAAATAAAACAATTAAGAACATCACACAATTAATTTTAACAGATAATTCCGTCGAATCGTGGGGCCCACCTGGGGTCTCTATCCCAAAGTCGTCGCAAGGACTTACACGGTCATCATAACAGCTATGCTAACATACGGTGCAGTTGTCTTGGTACCGAAAACCCAAAAATTTACAGTTATCCGCAAACTAGAACAGCATGTCGCAACATAACCGGAGCCATGAAAATCACACCAACCAGAGTCTGAACATTAAGGAAGAAGTTACTTTGATGACCATGACACGCCTTCGCACGGTTGGAAATGTTGAATTGGATCCTGGGATTTGGTGAGGCGAGACGTCCCTTTTGGCAGGAGGCGCTCCTGCTGCTCTAAGTGAACATGGAATCTATCTCACCGAGATATATCTTCCATAAGCCATATAAAGTTATAATAGAACAAATTGAAGAGCCGAAAGTGTCAGGTACGATTTATATTTACACCGACGGTTCTAAAACAAGGCTTAGGACGTGGAGTTCACTGGGATTTTCATAGCAGCAAAAGAAGTTACCAGAAACAACATCATATGCTCATCTATACAGATAGCAGTGAGTAGTGCTCACCCTGGATAGACCACGAATTTAATCAGGGTTAGTACTAGAATGTCACGAAACTTTGGCCGAAGAGTCCATCAGCAATGTGGTCACACCACATCAAAAGGTATAACCGTCTTGCTGATTTACTAGCTAAGAAGGCAGCCAACCAAATACTTTTTGGACCTGGCACTTCTATTGGACTGTCATTATTTGTAGTGACAAACTTAATTAAAGAACACTCCCTTGTGAAATTCAAAGAAAGATAGGAAGAAACAAGAAGTTGCAGATTTGTCAGGGAACTTTTAAGTTATACTGACAACACTACAGCAAACAAACATTTGACTATGACTAGACATAATCTGCGCCTGATTATAAGGAGGTCCTTTCGCCACCAATGTTAAATAAAAAATATTAGATTATGACTAAAATTAATTTTTTTCTAATAATTGAAGTCCTTATTTATCTATTAGTGAACTTTTAACTATACCTTACCGTGCAAATTTTTGAGAATTTTTTTTTTAAAGTGTGAGTATTTGTACAGTGTCTTACGAGAAAGTAAGACTTCAACAACAATTTTCGAATTATAATTAAGTATACTATTATTTATTGATTAGATGGAGTAGAAAAAAACTAAAAATAGGGTTTTTGAAATATTTAGGTTTTGTTTTTTAAAATAAAATATATAGGTTACCGTGGAATTTATTGAGAAATTAATATTAAAAAATCACAAAAAAATTTCAATTAGGTTACTTGAATTTTTTTTTTAATAATAATTTCTCAATAAATTCCACGGTAACCTATATATTTTATTGTAAAAAACAAAACCTAAATATTTCAAGAACCTAATTTTTAGTTTTTTCTGCTCCATCTAATCAATACATAATAGTATAATTCGAGAATTGTTGTTGAGGTCTTACTTTCTCGTAAGACACTGTACAAATACATTAAAAAAAAATTCTCAAAAATTTGCACGGTAAGGTATAGTTAAAAGTTCACTATTAGATAAATAAGGACTTCAACTATTAAAAAAAAAAATTAATTTTAGTCATAATCTAATATTTTATATTTAACATTGGCGGCGAAAGGGGTGGCGAAAAGACCTCCTTATAAGCATTCTGAATGGTCATTGCCAAATACGGAAGCATCTCCATTGCATGGAGTATTTCAGAATTCGCACTCTGCAGGGAGTGCGAACAAGAAGATGAGACCATCGAGCATATCCTTTACGATTGCCCGACGCTCTCATTTATTAGAAGATTTGTGCTTGGCGAGAATTGGCTAACACTGGTCGATATAAGAGAAGTGGGCCTAAGTACCGTAGGTTAACCCACCGTCCGCACGTTATCGATACAGAATAGATAATTCTGAAAAGCAGCTTTGAAGATTTTAATGAAGTTACTATGAAGTTTTCATGTTTATTTCTAAATAATGTTAAAAACATCAGTTCTGTATAGGAAAGGAACAACTGTTGCTGTTGAAACTTTCAGAAGGATAAAAGTTATATCTGCATTTTTGGCTATAGCTGTCGAAGGTAATATCTTCTTTATAAACGTTTGGGTCTAGCGTGTTATATTTTTAATGTATAAAGTCGTCTACAGCAGAAATACATGTTTTACATAAAAATAATTGTCATATCTACAAATTCGGCCGTATTTTAACACAAAATTGTCCTATTTGAAATATTTTTACTACTAATCGTATTGTCAAATACGACTTTTATACTCGGAAGGTCAGCATTAAACTCCCGAAATCAAAGAATAGTCCAAACAATAGACTCACAAAGATTTACCGTCTCCAAAGAAGGTATAAACGGTTTTGTTAGCTGTGTTTTGGTATTCTGATGGAATTATTTTTTTTATAATTCTCGTTTAATCACCTTAATCCGTCTGAAGCGTGGCGCGACTGCCACTACTCCTACAGTCTTCAGACATTATTAAAGGTCCTACTGCCATACTAATTCACCCAAGATTATGGTGATACAGGAACAAATTAGTAGGTACTTGCGGTTTTGCCGTTAATTTAAACATTGTTTTAAATTTATACAATAATGAAGTTAACAATTTAAAATACCATTAATTTGTTAATATTATTAAAATAATGTTTACCTGCTCCAGCTGTAGCGAATCTTAAAATGGGCGATGGCTTGGACCAACCGTACCTGTTCCTAGATACCAGAAGAGCTTCATAAACAGTTCTCTCCTTAAGCCCCTTAATTGTATACGACTTTGAATAAACCGGTCCTGAACTATGTTCTGTTGGTATCGTCAATTTGGTCCAGTTGGGAGGATGCGTTGCCCTTGCTCTGTATGGTCTGAACCATAAATTGTATTCGATAATAGGCGTATAGCTGTCCACTTCCCATATTAGAGTATACGATGTTTTTGCATCTACATTTTTATCTTCAGTGTGTTTGAAGACTCCAGGGTTTGGCACTCCTAAAAATAAACAAATTTACTTGTTTTTGTTTAAAAAGTTGCATTTTATCAACTAACCTGACAGCTGTATTGCTAACTCTCCCTGTCCAAGCTCGTTGGAAGCTCTACATGTGTAAATACCAAAATCACTTCTCTGAACGTTCCTTATAAGCAAAGTATGCTTATCACCGTCTCCCATGGTGACTACTCTATTATCCAAGTGAATAGGAACTTCTCCTTTGAGCCAAGTTACAGTAGCCTGAGGGTCTGCAGATACCCTGCAATCTATTTGGACCCTGTGTCCAGGAGCAGTGTGGATCCAGGACCTTGAGGTAACCATTTCTGGTGGATCTGAAAAGTTTTGAAAACAATAAGATTCTTACCTTTGTTTTTAGACGTAAAAGGCAAATTTACTTTATATCTGAGACATAAGACAAGCGACAAAACAGCATCAGGATACTGACAATAATAAAAAATCGTCTGCATGGTTCAGGATTTATCAGGAAAGAGTAAATATAAAAAATACAAAAATGTCACTTACATATAATATTAAGTTCAATCACAGCTTTGACAGGTTCGCCAACTCCATTTGCAGCCGTACATTCATAAATACCAGCCATTTGTCTATCGGAGGCGGTGAACTTTAAAATTTCTCGATGATCGATTAATTTCAACTCTTCACCCTTAAAAAAAAAATTGTAAATTGGCATTGCATACGAATAAACGATAGGTAGGTTTTTAAGTAAACGAAAGTTTTTTTTGTACCTTACTTGACCAAGTAATAATTGGGTATGGTACGCCTTCTGCTTTGCAGGACATTCTGGCTTCCTCTCCTAATTTGACTTGTAAGAATCCATTTGGAGGAAATGGTTCAACTGACGGTGAATCTGAAAAATAGACATTATACAAAGTCAGTAGATGTTGTTCGCTTTTGGAAGGAGAAGACAAAGTAATAGAACCATCAGGTGTTGAACTTACGTAGCACTTCTATCGCATGCCTTTGTCTAACTGGTCCCCAGGGTTCTGTTCGTTCGATTTCACATACATATTCTCCAGTCTGTTCAGGTTGCACACTTAAAATTTCTAGAGATCCATTTTGCCAGAGAAAGTGCCTCTCCGGTAATGTTAAGGTTTCGTTGGAGCTATCAGCTATGAGGTCTTCATCTTTGTACCATCGGACGGATATGGCAAATGCCTCATCTAAAAAGTAATAATGAATTTTTTATATTGAGTATATTTCTGGATATTTTTGAATAATTTTAGATGAAACAACTGTTATACAGTGTGGACCAGCCAAATGGTATAAATTCGGTAATAAATAAATGGGGGCGTGTTTGAAAAAACGCTCGGACACATCGATTGGTATTTTTAGTTGCGCATTTTTTTTTAACAAAAAACTTTTGTTTGATTACAGAAACTCGCTACAACACACTCAATACTTATTTCCCATTTAGGTCTTGATAATGAGAAAGTAAGCAGAAACCATTTCAGCGTTCCTTTTTACTGATATAAAATAAGAAAAGCTATACCTAAATAGTTATATCAGATATCAGAAAAATTGCTCATTTAACAGAAATGTACAAAATAATAATTATATAGATGATTGGTTATGGAGATAACACACGGACACAAATGGAAGTTGCTCACTTATTTCATGAAAAATTTCCAAATGTGCCGCGTATATCCAAAGGGACAATTAGTAAAATAGAGAAGCAGTTTTGCGAGCTTGGACATGTAAGGCAAATAAAAAAAAACAGCTGCCAATGAAGTAACTATCATGATACTAAACTGGATATTATGCTTGAGTTTCAGGAAAACCTACATACTTCTAGTCGACAAGAAGCCCCAATGTTCGATATTAGTCATTCATCGATTTTGTGAACATATGATGGCAATGTTAGATAATATGGTGATCAATTAAGGTACATTTGGGTAATATGGCCCGGGCAAAAAAGGCTGATAGATCAAATATTGCATTTGCTATACTAATCTGTAAATATGACAGATCGCACATTGCAATTTGCCGCCTAGTTCTTGACCTGTTGGAATGTATGTGTTTGCACAGGTAAGTGCGTAAATTCGCTTGATTCTATAGTTATTAGACATCCTAGGCATGGTACAATTTCTGTTGAATGTTAAGTTTTTGACGAATATCTAACCTCAATTTTGTAAATGTGTACGGACGGAAATTTGGCTCACAACAACCTTATGCTGGGCCATATTTCTGACCTGTCTAAATTCTTGTTAAATTTATTATTTTTATTTTTTTCGACAGAAAATGGCATTGTAGAGGAATACAAGGAAACCGGACAGAAGATATGATGGCCGAGGATTTAGAACTCCTTAGGCAAGGTAAAAAAGTCAAAGAGATGTCGAGAAAAACTGCGTTATTCCTAGGACTACCTTAAGAAATCATCTGAAAACTGACAGTTCTACAAAGAAGTTAGACAGGAATATCTTATTTTCTGTTCAACAAGAAGGAGACCTCGAAGCACGAATTGTAAGAATATCTCGTGTCGGAGTGCCATTGACTCCAAAATCTGTGCGAAGATGTATTTACCAGTTTTGTGTAAGTAATGACATACCACACAAATTCAACAGTGCCAAAGAAATGGCTGGATTTACATGGTATAAACGTTTCTTAAGGAGACATCCGAATATTTCCAGAAGAAAAGCACAGTCAATGATTATAGCTCGAGCTCAAAAACTCAACCCAACCATTGTAAAGGATCATTTTGAAAAATTAGGACATCTCAATGAACAGGGGTTTAAAAATGGACCAGAAAAGATTTATAATGTTGACTAGAGAGGCTGTAGGTTGACTTTACATCATTCACAAGCAGTCTTAGTTCCAAAAGGTGAACGAAGAGTTCATATAAATAGAAAATGCAACAGTAGTTGCTTGTCTCAGTGCACTAGGGCAAGCTGTACCGCACATCGTAATATTCAAAGGGATGAGAAAAAAGGAAACCTATAGTGATAATATGCCGCCTGGATCTGAGGTGAAAATGAAAGCATGACAAGCGAAATATTTGTAAAATAGTTTCGCTAAGTATAAAACTGTAGACAAAGTCCTTTTAATTTTTGTATGATGGCGCCTCGTGTCACGTAGATTATACCATAGTTAAAACCGCCGAATGCTACGATATCGTACTTTACTGCTTGCCGTCTAATACTTCACATGAATTGCAACCATTAGATAAGGCCGTTTTCCGTTCTTTTGAACATCATTGGGACGTTGAGATGTTAAAATACTGGGAAAAGAACCCTAATGCGTTAAGAACTTTGAATAAATAACGATTTGGACTTGTCTTTAACAAAGTTTGGCAACAGGCGTTGACGATGTCTAATATCCAGAGTGGATTTAGTTCAACTGGAATTTACCCCTTTAATCTAGAAATAATTTCAGAGACAGCATTTGCACCTTCTACGCCAACCCACAGAATATTTTCAGAGGTTGTTGATGATGAACCAGAAGATTCTGATACTTCTGAAGACGTTCCGTTAATGCAATTCATTAAAAACGCCCTGCCTCTACGGCGACTCAGTTTTGATCAAGTATCAATACCTGGTTGTTCAAAATGGACTGATGCTGAAGCAGTCAAGAAGCATAAAGCAGCTATGAAGCAGAATGCAGTCAAGGAGCAGGAAGCAGCTATGAAGCAGGATGCAGCTAAAAAACAGGGAGCAGCAAAGAAGCAGGAAGCAGCCATGAATCAGGAAGCAGTCAAAGAGCAAAGCGCAGCCAAGAAGCAAGGAGCAGCCAAGGAGCAGGAAGCGCTTAAAAAGCAGGGAGCAGCCAAAGAGCAGAAAGCAGCCAAAGAGCAGAAAGCAGGCTCTTTAAAATCAAATGATGGAAAAATTAAAGTGTTAAATATCACTATCATCAAGCCTCCTATTAAGCAAGAAAAATTTCAGTTTGCATAGCTAATAAAGACTTCAGATATAGTAGTAACTAAAACAAGATCAATGCGAAGAAAGGCAATTAATTATAAAGGACAGTTGTTAAAAAAAATACATTTTCAGTAAAAAGCAAAGATCAAGAAAATTAAGGAGAGCTAGATGTGTTCCATTTGCAATGAATATTTTGAAAGTGATAAGCTTCAGTGCGCAACTTGTGGCATGGGTGCATGATATATGTGTGGGACTAACTGAGGAAGATACCAAAGATTTCTAGGCCCAGTCTGTTCAACTTAACCGGAGTTGCGAAGTGCGGGCTATATTTTAACTATGTATTTTATGTTCTGGACCATATTTCAGGCAATGTCGGAAATATGGCCCAATTTTGATGTTTTTTAATTTTGTTCCTATTAATACATAGTAAATGTTTAATTATTAATGATCTTTGCATATTACAATAAACAGATTTCGTTTTAAAGTGTTTTGTTTTACTTTTATACGCCGTCAAAGTGAAAGTGGGCCATATTACCCGAACGTACCTTAGAACATGTTTTATTTTTTAATGAGTGTACCTTTACACTTCTAGGGAAAATCCTCACTGGATGAGAGAAGAACATACGCGATACCCTGAAAAGGTTAATGTTTGGACAGGAATTGTTGGCGATCATAATTATAAGTCCCTTTTTCATTGATGGCAATTTGAAGGGCGATAATTATATAGCAGTACTCCAAAATAATGTCGTGCCAACTTTAACGAACTTATATCCTGATCCAGCAAACCCACAAGTTCCAGCGAATATGATATGGTTTCAGCAAGATGGAGCACCGCCTCATTACCAAATCAATGTCCGGTAGTACCTCAATCGAGTATTTCCAAATCGGTGGATAGGGAGGCGGTGGAATGGCCAGCTCGATCCCCTGATCTAACATTACTAGACTTTTTCTTATGGGGATATGTCAAAAGTATTGCATACAAAACTAAACTTCTCAATCTAGCTTATAAGCAGACGAATAACGCTTGGGATTAGATTGGTCACGCCTGAGATGTTGAGTAACGTTAGAAGACTTTTTTATTTCAGATTAGGATGTTACCAAGAGGTTCACGGCGATAATTTTGTATATCTCCTACATTGAGATGTGTTTTTTTTTACATTATCAAGAAATAAACAGAATTACTTATTAGTTTTTGGGTGTGTTGTAACGAATTTCTGTAATCAAATAATTTTATTTCATTAATGTTAATTTTTGCAATAAATCGGAAATCATTTAATATTTCCGAAACAGTTAGGTATAGGATATAATACATAAAATTTCAGGGTGTTACAAGTAAAATAAGAAAGTTGGTATTGGCCACTGTTAGATGACACACCCTGTATAAAAAGTATTTAAAAAAAAAACGCAATTAAAAATACCAATCGATGTGTCGAGCGTTTTTCAACCATGCCCCCATTTATTTATTACCGAATTTATTTCATTTGGCTGTTCCACACTGTATATGTTTATGTGGGTGAATGTTTTCAACGGAACGCCCAAGTGTGTGTATTACTGCTCTAAGAAATTAATGAACCAATAAGAATTACACAAAAAAAGGTAGAAAAAAATTGGTTATTCGTAAATATTTTTAATATCCTTTACCCAAGTTTGTTTTAATTTGCCAGTGTTATTTGTAGTGTTAAGGACCCAATTTAGCTTTCAACCCAATTAAATTTATTAAGTCCAGTGGCGTCCCGAGCGGCACCTTAACGAATATTTTTTTGACAAATGTATGACACTGTCTTATTTGTAATTTTTGTGTGGTCCAGGGATATACAATTAGTGGAATTTTATTTTTTTTTTTTAAAAATAAGCAAAAGTGATAAAAACCTGTATTTTTAGTTGCCTAATCAGAAAAAAATTCAAAATTACAAAAAAGTCAGTGTCGTACATTTTTTTGTCAAAAATATTTGTAAAGGGGCTACTCGAGACGCCACTGGACTTAATAAATTGACTCAAGTTAAGAGCTAAACTTGGACTTGGGTAAAGGATATTTAAAATAATTACGAAAAACAAATTATTTAAAAAAGTTTAACACCCTGTATCTTGAAAATGAAGCATTTGTGGACCTTTATTTATATGAACTTTTAATCTTAAAATCACACAAGGAATCGTCTCGTGCCTACATATTTAAGTAACACCCTGTATAGTACAGACTTAAATTACTACGTTCGAATAATAGGATTGTATGCATTGTCTTTAAGTATATAAATGTCAATTTCCTGTTATATTTTATAAAGTGGTTTTATTGTTGAGTAAACAAACAT